CTACCCAGTCGAAACAGTATTCACATCGAACTGGTTTTCATGCGACACCGGGCTGATAAGGTTGAGAATAAGCGTTATATGAGTTCATATTGTTTCAAAGTTGACATCAGCATGATAAAAGTCAACATAAAGTTGTCACGGGGACATGATAGCCACGTAAGCGAAAATGCAACAGGCTTTATATATTCACACAAATATTGACATGGTGAATTATGCAGAATTATAAGAACAAAAAACAAGACATCATCCCAGACTTCTTTATCAGCAGTGGAGCAGAGAGGTGGTCCGATAAGTTGAGTCTGACTTTTGTTTTTCTCGAACAACGGCAAGGAAAAGATTATTGTGTATGTGCTTATTTTCGATTGCTGCACAAATTATTACGCCGATAACAATTGTGCTTTTGGAACATAATAAACAAAGCTTATTTAATGGATCCCTGATTACAGTTAAAGCCAGCGCAGCCTCCTGCTGCTCCTCTACCCGCGGCAGGAAGCTGCGCTGCTCTGGGCAGCAGTTCACTGTCTTTGCCGTATGAACTGACATGTGATTGCCATTCTCTGTCCCACACTGAGAGGTGCGTTAAGGCTTCCCAGATGGAGAAGAAATAGCTAGGCGCCTAAATAGTTAATCAAACTTTGTTAGTTCTCCTTAGGATTGTGTGAAATAAAGGAATTTGTCACGAGAGAATTTTAGGTAATCAGTACGCTCGAGAATGAAGACCCAATCGTCCGCGGACAGTACATGCAGTTCGTGGAGTACGCCCAAGTATGTGGGGGCCTTTACAAAGTAACCTTGCCAGCTCCTTAAAATCTTACATTTAAATGTTAAACATTTGAAAATATTTTAATTTATGTATGCTGAAGGCATTAAATAAAATTTAGCAGCATTGATAATCTCAGTAAACAAATATTACATTCATGTATCTGTGGTTTGTGTTAAAATATTAGCATTTATGGGGCTCCTGAGTGTGATAACATGATGTGATTGAACTACTAGAAAAACAACGGTTAAGTTGCAATGGTAAAACAAATACAAAACAATACAATAAATGCTACAAATACAGATAAATTACTAATATCAATATGAAAAAATAAGACTAAAATTAATGCATCTACATACAACTGTCTTCAAATTCTGTTTGAGAATATTTCTTTTTATACTGTATGTTATACTTTATATATTTTTAAATAAATTAATTCACTCACAAATGTAATTTTTGTGGCACCTCTATTATTCCATAAATTCTGAGCAACTTGTAAAATTAGATGTTATGGGAAAAAAACAAGGGAGATATGACAAAACCCATAATATTGCATCAAGCTATAGCAATGGGGAAGTAGTGCACATAAAACATATGAAGGATCATGATTTATTTAGGTTGGAACTTGAAATGGTACTCTGATTGCATAGAGAGACACATCTCAGTCCTATTGAAAGCCAGTTTCTCTCATGAAAGTGGTTTATACTACATGTTAACACATTTACCATGTTTATCTGTCTTATGTCATAACCATGTAGAAAGTTACTGTGATGAAACTGAATAAAAACTTGTCTCTCTCCCAAAGGTAAAAC